AGTGTACCCAATAAAAGTTCGAAGTTGCAGGAATGGGTAATAGTGTTTTCTGTTTGTGCAGAGGGGCAGTGCTGGAGGTGGGTGCTGACTGTCCCTTGCGTGCTGCTTACTGCTTGAGTGTATTTGCATGTGGACTGAGTCACATTTGTTTTTTGTGATACAATTTAATTCCTGATTCTGGTCTCCGGTAGCTGTCAAGATCAAGAAAAATAAGGACAATGTGAAGTTTAAAGTTCGATGTAGCAGATACCTTTACACCCTGGTCATCACGGACAAAGAGAAGGCAGAGAAACTGAAGCAGTCCCTGCCCCCTGGTGAGTGAGCCTGAAGTCACTTCAGGGGCGGGTGGGGTTTGGGAGGTTGCTGTGTGTGGCCGTCTTGTATCTTGTTTTGAATCCCTCCCAGATTTCAGGGCCCATTTTATGGTCTTAAGAATCTGCTCTTGCTCTTGGGAGTGTGAGGAATAGTTGTGATTCTCAGATTATATACAGTAGCAGAAATCCTTTCCTTAGCCAAAAGAGAGGTTAGAGCTCATTTAGTGCTGTTCATGTCCTTCGAGGCTGGTGCTGGTACTGATAATCCCCATTTTTTACAGGGAACAGATTGAATATAATAGACCAAGTCGTTTTATCAGACACTAAACCAAAACTTCCCTGGTGGATCTAATTTCTGAACCTTGTGTGCTCTCTTTAGCTTAAGTACAAAATCTAGACAAGCAGCAGCAACTCAGATGTGTCTTCTGGATGGCTTACTTTTGTCTCTTTTCCTCTAGGTTTGGCAGTGAAGGAACTGAAATGAACCAGACACACTGATTTGAAGTGTATTAAAATACTAAAAATCCTAAGTGTCTTTCGTCTTTGAGGATGGGAAAGGAAAATATGCTACCTGGTAGTGGCTTCTGGTGGGAACAGGACACGGGTCCTGTTGCTGCCTCCCTGCATCCTGATCTTTTTTTGAGATGGAGTCTTGCTCTGCCGCCCAGGCTGGAGCACAGTGACACGATCTCAGCTCACTACCACCTCCGCCTCCTGGGTTCAAGCGATTCTCCTGCCTCAGCCTCCCGAGTAGCTGGGATTATAGGCATGCATCACCACACCAAGCTGATTTTTGTGTTTTTAGTAGAGACAGGGTTTCACTGCCCACCTCAGCCTCCCAGAGTGCTGGGATTACAGGCATGAGCCCCCGTGCCCAGCGCATCCCTAATCTTGAACATGATCTCAGTGGGCAAATGAGGCCATCTGTTTTCAGCCCAAGTTTGAAAATAAGGAGATGTGGGGAGGCCGTGATGTTTCGAAACAGCACGTGGGGTTAAACATACTGGCAGATGTGGGAGCGACGGTGGGGCATGCCGTTCAAACAGGTCCCAAAATGGGGGCAACATGGTGTAGCACATCTGCCACTCGCTAACTTGACTGACTGGAAGAAATGACTACACTTTTGCCCGTTTCCTCAGTTGCAAAACAGCCACATTCACACCTCTTTCACTGGCTTGCTGTAAGGGTACTGGGATGTGGGGGGACACGGTGGAGGGAGGTGCACGGGTCGGAGTGGCCACCAGGTGGTGCTGTGCCACAGCGGACAGCCCCACTGGAACTGAGTCTGCCTTTTAAAGTGTGGTGTACAGTGCACTTGGTATTGTGTTAGGCATTTAAACGCACTCAGGTTGTGAGGTGTAAGTGCCAGTCTTTGAATATCTGTAGGGACTGTGAGGGGGTGAGGTGGTTTTGAGTCTGGTTGGGGGTCTTGTTTCCTCTGGGAGAGGGTGGGTACGTCGGCCCTCAGCCCCAGGTGTGGCACTGTGGGCAACTTTCAGCCTTCCCCATTCTGTAAACATTTCAGATTCCCAAGGAAGAGTGAGTGTTTACCACGTGGGTTTTCTTTGTTCCCAGCACATCCTCCAGAGATTCGTCCCAGCTCCTAGGAGACAGGCCATGAAGGGGTGTGTCCAGCCTTGTGTAGAGAAGGCCGCCTTTCATACAGTGCCTCCCAGCCCTGGCTTGTGACTCAGAGTCATCTGGGGCCCGTGGCCAGGGCTGACTGGAGGTTGTGATTGCAGTGGTCTGGGGCATAGGTGTGTTTCCAAGCTCTCAGGTGGACACTGCCTTGCTGGGGCTTCAGCAAGGCCCTAAGTGCTGCGTAACAGGTGAATGAGGGGGGCGGGGATGGACTACAGCTGCTGGTTTGCTGACTTCTGCAACTCCCTGCTGAGCCTCTGGGAGGTCTGTCCCTGTTCTGGCTCAGCTTTTTGACACCTCTCTGGGTCAGCAGGCCTCCGGGGAAGCAGCTAGAATGGTCGTTGTCTGGCTGGGGGCAGGTGGGCTGAGCAGGTTTGGATATTCCAGGCTGCATTCCGGTGGCTGTGGGAATAGCCCTGAGGGAGAGCCTTCACAGTTTTTTTCTTCCAGTGCCATGTGCAGGCCTCCAGCCTCCTGGGGCTCCCCTGTACTGGGTTCAAAGTCAGTCCTCTGTGACCACCCACTGCCTAGGAGGCAGGCCCTTCCCACTTGGGGGGCCTCTGAGGGCAGGGGCTATAAAGGCCATTACCAGAGCCCTACCCGAAGAGTCCACTTTCCCCAGCAACTGCAGGGACTGAGTCAAGAGACCAAGACCTTTTAAAATGAGGTTTTCACCCAAAGAAGTTCCCTCCCCTGCCACAGTCTCCAAGCTGATCGTCTGGCTTCTGCAGTTCTCCGGCTCCCCTCTCGTGTTCTGGAACTTTCTTGCTTCCCCTTCCACCGGTCCTAGTCCCTGATCTCACAGGGTCCTGTTCCCTCTGCACAGAGGCCTCCCCCAGCACCTCCCT